CCCCAAAACCCCAAAACCCCAAAACCCCGGTTTTAGTAAGCTATATTGTATGTTAATATCTAATCTAAAGCTGTCGAAGACAAGTTTAAGCAGATAATTAAAACTTCGACTCATTATAATTATAAATTTTTTCATTTGTTAATTTTTGCCTCGAACGGAAAATACTTATCGTTTACTTGGAAATTTAGAAGCATATGGTTTCTTAAAGGTTCAGATGAAGGAGGATAATAAATTAGTAAAGGAGCTGGAACGATAGAGTTTAAGTTTTTGATATATCTATCTAGAACTGTGAATGCCATATCTGTTTCTTTACCGTAAACAGACTTCATTCTTATTTCGCCTCCAAGTCTCTCAACATAATTTTTGCTGATTGTAAGTCCAAGCCCACATCCATTAGGATTTATGTCTCTGTTTTCTTCGAGCGTCCCGAACTGTTTGAATAAATTTTGCTGATCTTCTTTCTTAATTCCAGTCCCAGAATCCTCAACTCTAAGTTTCAAGAAATTCAGGCCATCAAGAGTTTTAGTCAGAGCAGCCTTTATTTTGATGAACCCACTAAAAGTAAACTTGGTCGAGGTAGAAACCAAGTTGAGCAAGACCTGCATGACTCTGTTCCGGTCAGTTTTGATTTCTCAGAATTTGAGGTCATCATTTCATTCAGTTATCAAGTCAACTTTTCTCTGCTCTCATTGCATTGAGAATAGAGAGTGGACATCGCACAAAAGGGCAGGGATGCTGAAGAATTCATAACTGACCACAAATGTTCCATTATCGATCTTCGAAAGATTCAGGACATCTTCCACCAAAGCAAGCAACAGGGTGGATGATGTGGCTCCAGTTTTCGAAAACTTGAAGATGCTGTTGACATTCTCATCGATTCTCCTACTTTGAAACACATCTTCAGGTAATTTCTTGGTGAGGATCTTAATAAGGTCTTCAAAGCTTGACTCGATAAAGTTGAACGAGTTTATTATCGTATTTAACGGAGTCCTGAACTCGTGGCTGGTGCTTGCGAACATGATCTTCTGGAGCTTGATTCTACTCTTAGCTTGCTCTAGGTTGATTATATCTGTAGTGTCAATGAAGACATGCATAACCGAGGGAGTTCCTTTTCATTAGATCCTAAGAGACTAAATACTTGGAACACTTAGCAAATTTTCATCTAAAACGAATTACCACATTAACCCAAAAATGATTCTCCACCCAAAGATAGCTATGATAATATATTTCTGGTTCAGTCATATATTCTATACTTGTTGATTACCAACATTTTTACAATATAAATAAATGAACCTCATAAAACCACAAACAGCCATCTTACCTAACTATACCAATAAGTCAAAAATTTGTGTTCTAAAATCCAAATTCTTGCTTATTGTATGAGGACATTTTCTCTACCCAAAGTGTAACCATTCTCATAGAATGTAGAAATGCACATATTCCTACAGGAATCATTAGTCTTAAACATTCATCGGCATTACTATTGGGCGGTTAGAATGGGCATCTAATTGCATCGGAATATCTTAACTAAAATGCTAGGCCTTAACTTCCACTAAGTTCGTAGCAGTACAGATGAATTTATTAGAATTCTCTTGCATTAGAATTCCTTTTTATGAGAATTTGTTAGATTAGAAATGATTGTTATGAAGATTTTTGGTAAGATAAAATTTGAATGTACAAATAATTATGGTGTTATGGAGGAACGTAGAGAAGCAAATTATAAATCTTGTTATTCAACAAAGGCTTATTTTGCTATTAAAATGATATTTAGAGCATCCCTCCAATTATAGCGTAAATGAACAGATTTTACAGGAAATAAATAATTTTGCAAAAAGCAGACAATGGTCGGATTCGAACCCAAGCTCAAGCCAGAATTCATTCTTTTTCTTTTTAAATGGAATCCAAACAGTAAGTATTCGTGCTTCTTTTAATAAATGGAAAATTATAGTTTTATGTATTTTCTATTACTCTTCTTGTAAGTATAAAAATGAAATATTTCTAATAACGCAAAAATAAAGAGATTCCTCAAACCAAACAAAACTAAAACATTTCAGAACTTTTGTTGCCAGAGGGTCACAGAACACTGATCGATCACTAAAATAGGAGATCAATAGAGTTAGCCTTTTGTGGATCATAGCAATAGTCTTTATTTCTCATAATCTCTATCATTGCTCGGCTTATAATAAATTTGTTAGATTTCTATTGTTAATAATATTTCTAAAGTTCCATCTCCTCTCAACTCCAAGGTATTCCTTCTTATGAGCAAAGAGGCTTGCCTTCTTGATATAATCCATCGAGGGTTCATTCAGATGGTCCATCTAGTCTAGAGTATACTCCTTGGGCTTACTCTTGAGAATGATGTTCTCCAGTTGGGTGAACTCAGAGTCTTTTTGTTGGGAATCTTTGTAGAACTATACCAACTTGTACTTACTAAAGATGACGAAAGCTAGCCAAACCCCATACTTACCTAGCTGAGTTTATATATTTATTATTAGCCCACATTTGTTGGAAGGGGTTTTGGGGTTTTGGGGTTTTGGGGTTTTGGGG